GAAAGGGTCTTGGAGTCACAGGGGATATCTCAGTGAAAATGCCAACACGTTCGCGACCAGAGTCGTGGAACAAATTAAGTTCGTGAACCAAGGTACCACTGTATATAATTCACTGCGGATGGATATGATGATGGTCTACCAATTTAGACTATTTTAAAAGGGCTGGATAGAATCATGAAGAACTGGACTCTCAATGGCAGTGTATCTTAAATGTGAGCTGCTAGAAATCAGTAGAGGAAGAGGAATATCTCCCTATTTACTTTTGTGAGGTTCCTGAATTCATCTGTCTGTTTACTGTGTGACACAAAATTCTGGATTAAACAGGCTGTTGGCCTAATCCAGAACAGTCCTCCTTAGATACTCTACAAGTGTTGAGAGTGAGTTAGAGATAACTTTTAATATTAAAGTCATGGAAGAATTTACTTCAAGATGAAAATTTCACAATTTAATTTAATTTATCCTTCTATGAAGCTTCTATTCTGGGAGAAACATTGCTATTAAGAATCAATGCAATATAATGTTCTGTTTTATTTGGTATTGCAAAGGAAAAAAAAAAGGAATGACTGCATGATATTAATGATTAGATTAAAAAAACAAAGACAACATTGTGAAGTCATCCCAACCTGCCTGGTAATTAATGTTTGTAAAAATGAATATAAGAATAGGGAGAGGATGGATATGTATCCAGCATGATGTCTAGTCAAGTCAGAACTATACAGGCCAAATGCTATACCATTTGATTAAAAAAAATTACCCTAAAAAGAATACTTGTAGCATGTTTTTATATCCTATTGATCAAATGGTTCAACTTCTTCCAGAAGCATTAGAATGCAAACAGGTCTCTGAATATAACATTTAGTATGACAAGTTTTGAGACTCAAGGTTAAATTATAAAGGCACTGTAGTGAACATATTTATTTTTCTAGATTTAAGGTTAATTAGCAGTTTCTGTCAAAACAAGTTTCTTAGAAGACTCAATCCAATACCTCAGCTGCCTGAAAAGAAAGTATTTCAACTCCCAGTGTAACTCCTTTTTCTTTTAGTCTGTCATCAAAAGGATCCATCAAAATAATTGTCTTTAATCCTGGCATTTTTCCTTGCTCACAATTCTCCAGTATTGTCTCTGCTTTCTCAGGTTTATCACAGATCACTGTCGAGATGTCAGCTGAAAAAATACAAACAATTGGAAAGTTTTATCTAATTCCCATTTGGGAGATGAGGATCACTCACAAAGGAGTAACACAAGGAGAGTGTTTGCTTGCTGGAATACCTTCCCTTGATGCTTTTGTCAATAGCATTTTATTAAGTAATCAAGCCATTTGCCTCTGAAATGATTTCAATAACTACTTTGGATAGACTTTATTTTGCAGTTTGTGCTGTCAGGATTTGGCAGTCTACTCTTGATAGCATCAAGGGGCATCAAAAAGGAGGCTCAAGGCTATATGTAACTTTTGATTTGCCTAGTCCTAATCTACATTCATTCCATCATTTCCTCAAAATACCAGAAGGAAAACATGCTTTCAAGTGCCCAAGAAATGTTGCTTTAAGAGCATTGTGCTGGTAACACTGGCAAACCTCTCTTCACCTTCTCAAATAAACATTATCAAGATTCCTTACCAGGTTGATCTAATGCGGGAAAATAGCAAGTGAGAGAGAGAGAGAGAGAGAGAGAGATCATCCTATATTATTTCCAAATATTAACTATTCCTGCTGCATAGCTTTATGGAAGGACCAGCAGGTCACCACTGCATGAGCTTCTATAGCTTGTTGTACCATGCTATTAAGGGAGAAACCAGCTTGTCCAGACTAGCAAAAGAAGCCCATTATGATTACACTTTCCCAAGAGAGACACCTTCTGTACAATTAACAACCTTTATTGGTAAGTTGTGATTCAATCATTTTTTTCCCACAATTAAAGCATTATGAGCCATTTAATCACTGGAAAGAGCCAACTAGTTCTACTTTGGACTGAATCTTCAGTGTTGTTTTGCTATTACGATGCCAACTTCACTAAGTTCAATGAAGTTCCAGAATCTAATATCTTTGCTGTTATTCTACAGATTTAGTTACTAAAGTCCTTGAATCTGGCCCTATTTCCAATGTGTTGAACAAGACTGATATTAAAAGGTATCATTGCCTGAGTTATAAATAAACTAATGAATCTGGAGTGATTTTTCAGAGCCAGGAATTATTTATTTATGCAAAAAGGTTAGATAGGGTGGAGTAGTGGTTAAGGCACTGAACCCTGGAAACAGAGGTTCTAGTCCACCCTCAGCCACAGAAGCTCACTGGGTGACTTTGTGCCAGTTACTCTCTCCCAGCCCAATCCATAGTATTGTTGTGGGGAAAAAAAAGGAGATGGAACAACATGAACAGTGCCTTGAACTCTTGTACAAAAGGCAGGGTATAAATCTAATGAAGAATAAATAGATACTGTTGGAATTAATTAAAAAGGCTTTGAAAAACTTGCTGAGATAGAGGTCGGAAGCCAGCAATCAAATCTGTTTCCACTGCTGGATTTTCTCCTTGAATAAATAAATAAATCCATGTTGAGAAAGGAAAAGACTTACCTTTATTGACAATGTACACAATTGCCTCTGGGCCCAAAGTATCATAAAGGGGAACTGGTACCATCGAGTAAGTATAGCAAGCAAGCTCTGAGATGATCCACTATGCAGGAAACAGAAAGAAAAGAGTAACGTATCCTTCTACATTCTCCTATCAGAGCACTAAATAACATTTATATTACAGGCCTTATGCTGGAATTGTTTGCATTGAATAGAAGCTACACACAAGAACCTTTGCAAGAAGCAGGATAGGGATACCAACTGCTAATAATTAACGTATCTCAATAACTTGGGGATGCGGTGGCGCAGCGGCTTAATGACGCTGAAAGTTGTCGGCCAGAAATGGTCGACGCTTTAGCGGTTCGAGTCCAGCCTTCGCGTTAACAGGGTTGAGCTCCTGTTTCCTCCCCAGTTCCCGTCAACCCAACAGTTCGAAAAT